TTCATAACCTTGAAATCATGTAAACCACATGAATAAATGTGCAAAACCACAGGCACAGTATACCGTTTGCACTCTGATACCTTAATTTTTTTATAAATAATAAAAGTAAATATTGAAGCTCCTTAAAGTCGGTCTTAATTTTTTTTTTATAAATCATGTTGGTGTAGAACAGTTTATTAACTCTATTGGCCAAAATATAAGGTAATGTATGTTATAATTTTTCTTACAGGTTCACAATTATTTGTATCTATTTCCAATGCCTATCCTGTGTATGTTTAACTTTTTTACTTTTATCTTTTTGTCTAGCATCTCTGGCTCCATAAAATAGACAGAAATAGATTATATTAAAAAGTCTGTAGTTAATCTAATAGAAAAGTGTGTGTGTTTACGCATGTGTTATGTCATCCTTTGGGTTACTGCTATAAAAAAACCTACTAGTTAATCCAGCCTGTCATTTGTAACTGTTTTTCTTTTATCTGATAAAAATATTAGAGCCTTATGAGAAAATACAAATATGCTTTAAAACATTTTTCATGCAGTTTCTGCAAAATCTAGAGTCTAACATCCATCTATGGATAGCCACATGCATGACCTCTCACATCATTACATGTATTCTCACCTGTATACATGCAGGCACTTACATCCAGTCTTAGCTCAGTAACAGAATTGAAAGGCTCTGAAAGATGAGGGCAAATTGTCTTACCAGCTAGGTCTTGCCTCTACCTCAGGCAGGAGTTATTGGTAAAGTTCTGTAGCTGGGAGAGTCAAGGTGCTGCCATGTCAACTATTGTTTTTGTCTGGATTATACTGTGCTTCTTAAGAACATATGAACTCATGAACTCAAGTAAACTCTAGATTAGAACATGTCCTCAAACCAAAAAAAAAAACTAAGAAAAGATGCAAAGATGAGGTGGTGACGGAAGGTCATTGTAGCAGGTGCTTACACTCTTCTCACTGGAAGCAACTGAAGAAAACGGGAAAGATAATATAGGAAATCAAAACAGCGTTAAGATATCAACTACATCTAGCCAGTCCAGTATTATTAGACCTGATAATTGTGTTTTTGCAATGTTCTGCAGAATTGTAGGATTTATAGAGAAAACTAGACTGAGAATATTTCATTTTTGTTTTTATTAAGTATTTCAACTATATGAAGAAAAACAAAATTTATTGAAAACCAAATATGATATATATGATATGTATTACATATACATGTATATATGTATATACACGCACATTGTATAATGTAACCTGCAAAACTTCCTATGTGACCAACAATTTTCAGCACATAAAATTGGTCTCATTTTTACTCATACAATAAAATGAGGTAGAGAGGAGGCTTCCAAATCAGTCTCCAAGTTATCATTGATGGAACCAGAGTTCAAATGTGTTTTGGTTCCAATTACTGTCTAATTTCTGTTGAGCAAAAGTGAATGGTGAAGTGAACACTTGACTGAGTTAAAGATCAGAGACTGAAACCCAACTGAGCAGAGGTCTATTGGAGGTGCCCCTGGAAATAATGAAATTTCCAAATTAATGGATTTGTTTTCTGTTGCCAAGAGCATTAAGAACTCACTAGCTGCCCACCCCAAAGTGCTCTTGAGATTGGTAAGCATGGAACCATGTCATTATTATCAGTAAGTGAAAGTAAGCATAGTAGTTCTGATATCAGGCTCAAGTTAATCCCAGCATGTATTCATACATCTACAGATGTGGATGTATCCTTGTTCTCAATGTTTGAGCTGTAAACTAATGCATCATTAGCAGGATGCCTACCTCAAAATACTGATGTAGTAATTTAATGGATTTGTTACTTTGTAGATGGAGGTTTCTGTTTTGCTTGGTCTCACAGCTGTTTAATCCCAAATAAATATACAAAGGCTTATATAATTATTAAAAAAAGGAAAGATAACATCTTAAAGAAACATTAGAGCTTCTGAGTGTACTAGGGATTACTTCCTGAGCCTCTTTCCAGTCATAAGCAGTTTGTCATCATGGGATTTCCTATATCTTCTTAATACTGTTACCTGCATCCAGGAATTACATATTCTTTACCTTTGAAGAGGCCAGCCCTGTCCTTAGACACACAGACTCAAGCCTCCCTTGTGGTGCCTATTACTCTAATGATTTGGCCAGAGGCTGGATAACATGCCCTGGCTGGCTCTGTCTTCCTGCAGACATGAAAAGGCCCTTTAATTGATCACTGTGTCCCATGCAGTCTGCTGCTTTCATTCAAAATTTGCTTATTCGAATTAGCTGCAGCTTTTGTGTCATGTTTTCTCCTCTGTTATTTCAATAAGCAAGAACTTGCTTATATCAATAAGTAAGATCCTCTGCACATAGGATGTAAAGCAAGAAGCCTACATGTACAAAGCTTGGTGAGAGAGTATTCCCCAAAATCTCCCGCACGGAATTTCTTTTTGAGTCTGAACATATGAACCAAAGAAAAGAAGATGTGGGTACTGCTCTATTAGGGAGCATTGGTGGTAGCACTCTACCCAACAGAATTTCCAACTGTTCTCCTGACCCTCTGGATCCACCGGTTAGGGTATGATGAGAGCTTTGCTCTTACAAAGTACTAGCTGTTCGCTGGCATCCAAAGGTGCTGGTTTAATTTCATCTAAAACCCCCACTTGTGTAAGAAGAGCTTGAACAGCTAATATCTGTATGGTTTATTCATACAGTGATTAATCATGAAGTGACAGTCCTACAGCGAGTGCAGTGTTATATGCATTCTAGCCACACACACCAAGTGCATTGAGGAATAGCCTGCCAGAAATTGTGCACAGGATTTAGAGGAGCTATGATGATTCCCTTTGGTTTCAAGTGTGAGTTTACAAGTTAATACATACCACATGATGGCAGTGATTGCTTGAACTGGCTGCCTCAAAACTCAGTTCCCTTCAGCAATTTGTGTTAACACATAACCGTAATTTGAATGATCTAGTCTAGGCTTGCCCTAACTGATTCCAAGTCAGGCATCTGAATGTCTATTTTACAAGAACAAGAATATATGGGAGCAAGTAGATGGAAATGGACAATAAATAAATAAATGAAACAGATTTTGAGGGTGTCTGTTGAGATACTAGAAATGCCATGTCACGAGACAATGAAATTTGCACACTACATATGCATTGCTAAGTTATTTGATTTTTTAAAAATTGTGTTTTAAAGTTAACTGGGCAGCAGTAGTTGCACACACCTTTAATCCCAGGAGGCAGAGGCAGGCGGATCTCTGTGAGTTCATGACCAGCCTGATCTTCAAGAGTGAGTGAGTTCCAGGACAGCCAAAGACTGCACAGAGAAGCCCTGTCTTGAAAAACCAAAACAAACAAACAAACAAAATGTATTTCAGGTGTGTTTATACAGTTATATCTCATTCTTTGAGACTTGCAAATGAAAAGTTTTCCCTGTGATTTGCTTCTAATTTGCAGCAGTGGGAAACAGGGTGGACATTTAAAGTGAAAAAAGATTTTCAATGAGTTGAAATCCTGTAGGGATGAGGTCCAGGAGGCTGTTTTATGTCTGGTGTCCTATGGTGGTCCTGTGATAAACAAGGCAGCAGTTTGTCTACTTACTCTAACTGTGGTTAATCCAAACTTCCTAAAAATAATTTGTCTTCACAGAATAACATGGAGTTTGGAAATACAAATAAGATACATTTGTAAGTCCAAGAAGATATTTAAAGACAGGATCCCATTGCTATAATTTTATTTCTCTACATTATGTACTTCAAAGGTAGAAGATTAGAGAAGAAACTGGGCTACATTTGAATTTCCTTGGCTTTTCATTATATTTATTTGTGTGGCATGTGCACACACATATACAGAGGTTAAGGACAATTTGTGGGAGTTGGTACTCATCCACCTGTGGATTCTGGAGGTTGAACTCAGGTCATCAAGCTTAGAGGCAAGCTTGTTTATCCCTTGAGCCATGTCACCAACACCTAGCACAACCTGCTTTTAAAACAAATCATTTGTCCATTTGTAGTCAGTTTCCATTCCTACCCTGTTCCTTAACCCATGACCTGCTTCTTATCACTGCTCTTTTGAGTTTTCTACCAGTTCTCAAAGTGGGATGACAAAATTTGAAATCTCTTCAGACTTCCTTAATGCCATATTTGAGTTTAAACACACTGTAGGCTGGCCTTGTGATGCTTTTCATGGCTGAATAATATACTGTTAACACTATGACATTATATATTTCATTCTGTTTATCTGCTCACATTGATGGGTGTTTATATTTACTTTGAGATAAATATTTTGGAAGAAAATTGCTGTTTATTGGCCTTTTGTTAATGTAAGAAACTAATGATTTAATATCTTGCTCGCAAAATGACAGTCATGGGTTTTGGGAGGATTTCTGTTGTAGTGGTGGTTTTGATTTTCATCAGTCTCTGTTACTTTTAAACTGGGCAGTGGTTATATTATCTCTTTGTGGTTTTAATCTGCATTCCCATAGTATAGAGAGTATGCTTATTAAGACAAGTGGTGCTTCTTTGGTGAAGCCTCTTCCAAATTTTACCCACTTTTTTTTTTCATTTGAACTGTGTTGTTATATTAGTTCTTTATGTAGTTTGATACTAGCCCTATATTATGTAGGTGTATGCTTTGTAATTTTTGTGAATTTTCTGCTAGTACATTTTAAAAAGCAAAGATTTTTTGAGGATGGTATGTTCCAAATGCACAATTCCTTTTGTTTGTTTGTTTGTTTGTTTGTTTGTTTGTTTGTTTTAGGCAGTGTCTCACTATTTAATCCTGACTGGCCTGGAGCTCACTGTGCAGACCGGGCTAGCTGGAGATTCCCCACCTCTGCCTGCTAAGTGCTAATATTGAAGGTGTGTGCTACCACACCTGCCACAGAGTAGTTTGTTAAGTTGTACTTTAGATATCATTTCTAAGACATTTTTGTTTGATCCAAGGTTGCAAAGATTTTGCTCTGTTTTACAGTTTTTATGGTTATTAGCACTTACATTTCAGTGTATACTACTATTTGTTTAGTCTGTGAAATTGGGTAAGATTCAATGGTTGCTATATGGCTGTGAAGCACTGTTTACTAAACACCAGCTTGTTATATGGGCACTAAGATCTGTACTCCAGTCTCATGATTGCATACCAAGTACTCTTAACTGCCAAGCCGTCTCTCTAACACCTCAAGAGAGGTTCTTAAGATACCTGTTTCCTGCAGTTTCCCTGTTTTTCACCTTTAGTCAGTGTTACCCTCTCCCTACTACAGTCCATAAGAATGTCTTAGCCACAGTATGCCAGTCACTGTGGCACACACCTGTAATCAGGAAACTAGGGCAGGTGCATATCTATTTCAAAGTTGCCCTGGGCTACACAGACTCAGTCAAGTTCCGTGTCCATAATTATGACAAAAGCACATTGGCACTTGTAAAATCCAGGCACTATAGCAGAAACAAGGAGGAACCTACTTGTTCATTAACTTCTTTGTGTAAAATGTTTTAAGCACTCAACTAAGGTTCTTGGGGAGTTAGCAAGACTGCTTTCATGTTTCGGTGTTGCTCTCTCTAGACACTTAGACTGACCATGTAATTTTATCATCTTGGAAAATTGTCTTATTGAGTTGCACTTTTTCTAGCTATACCAATATGGTATGGTGTACCTTCTGATAGCTCACAAGACACTGATACTTTGACAGGCTCTTTATATGTCAGTCAAATTTTAGTATCCCTTTAAAAAGTTTGACTGATGACTCTGAATGTTCAGCCATGAGAGTGGTATCAAAAACTTGCTTGAACTTATCTAAAAAGTCATAATCAGTGCTGAATCTGAATTTGTTTGCCCAAAGCACCACAGTGCCTGGCTGGGAAAGATACACCATGGTAGCGAGTAGCTTATCCAGAAAGTAGTGGTGGTAGACCACATCAGAGGCCAGGATGTAATCGTAATAAAAGTTTGACTTGGGAAATTTCTGGTCCAGGTCTTCCCCCCATACGAGTTCTTTCACTTCAGGTAGATGAGCTGTGCATTCCAGTGTGTTTTTTAAAAGATTGTATTGAAGATTTCCTAGAACATCAGGCAGATCTGTTGCCGTGACTTGAGCTCCTAAAAGAAAGAGAAATAGTAATGCTTCCTGGAGATACAATTTCCTTTACTAGAAGACAGTGAACATCTGCATTTCTAAACCATGCCTTTGCTGGTATAGGCTGAGAAAACTGTTGTAATTTAAGGCGGACAGTTTCCTCTTATAGTCCTGACTTGTGCTCTCTATACACCCACCACATTTGATGTCAGTAGCACCCCAACTTGAACCTCCACCCCCACTTGTGAATGTCAAAGGGATTCAGTTTCATGCCTTTGGATTCTCAACTTCCTTACATGAAAGCTAAATGAATTAAAGTAGTTGACTAGCTTCTCCAAGACTTATCTCTGAATAATTAATAATGCCTGTCATGTGACATTGGGGAGTGATTCAATGAATTGTGGCATACCCTGTCAGTAGTATGAAATCAGTATTGTCACAGAAAAGATTCTTATGAAATGAGAAGAAGAAGAAACAAACCTAAAAGACTGGCCACAATGGAAACAAGGCCTGGTCCAGCACCAATTTCAAGTATTTTAGCGTCTTGGAGATTTAATTCCTCTGTATGGTCTTCCAAATATTGGCACAAAACTGTAGCCTAAAAGACATTAGCAACAATTTCCATTTGGGGATTGGCCAGGAGCAAACCACTGTATGCTTGTAGTTGAACATTAAGGTGTAACTCTAAAAATTTTCAGCTTAGTGTTTTGTAAGAACCAAAATAGCCAGATACTGAGGCTCAGACCTATAAGCACAGCACTGAGGCACTTGATCCAGCCTAAGCTACTAGATGATTCTGTCTCTTTCCTATAGCCAAAAAGAAAGGAAAACTTAATGTCATAGCCATCTATGCATAAATATTATAATTCTAGCTAAGGAACTGGAGAAACAGATTAATCTTGTTGTCTATGTCAGACCTGACTGATCTCAAAGAACAAAGAAGGTAAAGGAGAAGATAGTCCCACTCTTAGAATAAATGGGGAATGCGTACTGAAAAATAGCAATTCCTGCCAGCTTTGTCATGTGGGGTCTGTTAAGTGCTTCAAGTAAGTTATATAAAATTGAGCAACTTTCTCCCAGTTCATTCATCAAATTCAGATTGATTAGGCTGTTACATTGGGCAACTGGCTAGTTTGGGGTCCCCCTCCCCTTCCTCCTCGTAGCTGATAAACACTGCCAGAAGGATGGATCCCTGTGAGCCCCAGGACAGCCAGGACCGTGTGTGTGTGTGTGTAATGTCAGCAATGCCCTGGAGAAGACTTAATGATGTATGTGCAAGACAGTAACAAACCCATACCCACAGACCAGGACTGCAGTGTGGACATGGAGATGAAGAGCAGTTGAGCTCTGTAGTTTGCACTCTGCTTTCTGTTTGGGCTAGGCAGGAAATTATTGGCCAGGGAATTCCTTCTCTCATCATTGCAGTTCATAAGGTGAATAACACAGTAACTCTGTTCACTGCATTGCATTTGCTCCTGTTGAACAGATGTCTGCGAGGATACTAGCAGTTATCTATGCTGTCTAAGGGCCTCTGGTGGCAGGGCTAAGACATGTAAACCAGTTACAAAGTGCTGTATTTTATGCGGCATAAGCAAGGCATACCAGTGGGATAGGAAGGGAAAGAGGCCACGGGAACGTCAGTCCACCCTTCCTCATGCAGGGAGAGATGTGCCAGCTGAAGAAAGATGCAAGTGGCCAGTCAGGTGAGTATACTAGATGTCAAACAGCACCAAGGCAAAGGAGGGGGTTGTGGTTGGCAAGGAGAAGTTGTGTGAACCTTCAATATTATCACCTAGAGTGGCCCCCAAAACATACTCTGTGTGATATTGTGATAATGGCTGAAGCCAGCCTACCTCTATGGACACTTTGCCCTCCAATACGTGTCATATGGAGTGTCATTTTGGCATTTCAAACCCCCAACTCTGTCCTTCCAAGAGGAACTCTGAAGCGACCTCTTTTCATTGACAACTACACCATAAATCACACAGGAACTACCATTTTCCCACTTAAGACCCCAAGAGAGGCCTCTGGTGCACAACAGGCGAAGGCCTTTCTTTTCCTAATGTTTACCATCACTGTAGTTACCTGTTTGATATAATAGGAAAGGAAACAGGGGTGTGGTGTTTTCAAACTTCAGGTTAGGGAAAAGACCTTTGCTGGAAGAAAATCATACCCGTGTGTAAATACTAAAAGAGCCCCCAGACCAGAAGCTCTGGCTCTTCCCACTTATTACCGATCCCCAGGATCCCTGAAGAGTCCTGTGGGACCATCTTCATGTCTGTTCAGTGCTCCACAGAGCCACTATCATGACTTCCCAGCTCAGAGTCTCTGTACCAAGTCATATGTGTTATTAGACAGTTTTTAAGAAATAGTTATAACCACCCTTCCCCTAGCCAGTTTTCAATCAAAATCTGCCTTTCAATAAGATCTCAATATAACTCCAGAGGTCTGAGAATTTTTGCTGTGGTCCCTTTCTAGTCTTCTGGACAGGCTGGCATTGGGAAGATTGGTAATACTGGGCCCCAGAGCACCACCCTAGGGTTAAGTTTTACCAAACTCTGAACTTCCTGGGCCTTTGTATTCTCAGCTGTGAGGTAGGAATGATGTTGCATCAATAACTACAACTAATAAGGACCTAGGTGTAGTGCCTGATTAATCTTGACAACCATATCAGCAACTCATTCTTAACCATTAGTTAACATTTGAAATATGGAAACCAAAGAAAAAGGGACAAATGAGTGCCTATGACCACAAGCCTGAGAATAATGGACTTGCATCTGTTTCAGTCCTGTCCTCACAAACATGCACAGTGAGAGGTAGAGAAATGACTGTGGTGTCTGCCATTTGCCTTGTGAAATAAGTCTGAAATTAATGAATGGCTGAGAATGAGAGGACCCCAAAGGTGCCTATTGCAAATTCTAAACTATAAATTCTTAACTGTTCATGTCATAGTTGTATCAGTTTTGTATCATTTCCAATGTGGTCTACTTATGTCACTGGAAAATATTTCAGTAAATATTGTTTAGGGCTGGGGGGTATAGCTCAGTGATGACACACTTGTTTGTCATGATGAGAAGAAGGAAGGGAAGGGATGGGCAGGGGCAAGAGGAGGAACAAGGTACAGGAAAGGGAGAGGAGGATTTTGCTTCAAAGCCAGTGCTACCAAAAGAAGTGCTTTATCTCTGTAGAGCCCAAACACAACGCAAACCCTTGAAGTGCTATTACTGTTACTCATCAATCGGAAAAGCACAAAGGTGAGAAGACACATGTTGTCCTAGACAGCAGAGATGTACAATACATTTTATCTCCAGAAAGCCTGGCCACAAATATAAGTAGCAGGTCTCACCCCTGGCCACACCACCGTGCCGTAGTTCTCAATGGATTCTTGGATGATGATCTTCTTGCCTGCAAACTGATAATGCTCTTGTGTGTAGCTGGCATAGTCTGTAGGAACAAATTTCTGGATACTATGAAGAGATGACTCTATCCTGTCAGACTCTGTAAAGCAGAAAAATCAGATGGGCCACAGTATAATGAAAATGGATAAAACTGTTTCTCTACGGGGAAGGCAACCATCAACACCTATAACGAGACAGAACACAAAACTGAATTATATGGGGTGATGGGAACTGGAATTCACATGTAACACTTCAATAATATGGCAAAGTGATAAAGGATGCCCCTGGTCTTTTTTAGGAGAGGACAGAAGAGAAGACCTGTCCATCTTTTGCCACCAAAAGAAAGCAATATTATCTGGTTATATGCAAAGTGGCCTTAGTGAGCTTTCTGAACCTGGAGGAGCTAGATAAACACACATCTGGCTATTTTTAGGTGTTGGGTATGAGTTTTCTTATATTAGTCATAACCTTTTTAAAATTTTTAGACAAAAAAAGGGGGATGTGTTGTGATATCTTGCTTGCACAAATAAAGCCTGTCTAAAGGTCAGATAATGGAGCTTGCCACTAGCTAATCATAGAGGTCTGGAGGTCTGTACAGACAGGAAGTGAGTTAGCTAGGCGGAAACAGGATATAAGCAGGGAGACACAGGATCTCGCTCTCTTGTCTGCTCAGACACTAAGAAGGTACAATGTGACGGTTGGTTTGCTCCTTCTCTCTGATCTCTCAGACAGACTTTATTTGTACAAGGAAGATATTACCATATTGGGGTGATGTAGTATTCCCACATGTTGGCAGGAGCATGTTTTCTTAAATCTACCACTACCCCTTAAAAGGACCAGGCTACCCACTGTTGAACCAGTTCTCCAAGCCTGGGGAGGCTGTTAGCTGAACTCCAGTTTTAAATTACAACTGCTTTAAATACTCCTTTAGCTCCATGTACCATGATAGCAGTTCTCAAATGTCATATAAAATGAGAAAGAGAGCACGTGACGGGACTGGTATCATGCAGTCACAAATCTTCATAGGTTTTTTTCAGAGTTTAAAAGAGCGGTGAAGCAAAAAGGAAGGAAGATGAGGATGCTGAGCTCATGACCTACCAATCATTGTTGGCCAAGGATTAAAATGGCACCAAAACTGGGGATTCTGTTTTGGAGTAGAAGATTTTGACAGAGCAATAAAATCTGGGCTCTAGGAAATCTGTGAAAAAACAATCACTGATCATTTGATGTCTGCCAGAGCAGCCACTCAAGGTGGAGGAGGAAGGAGATGAGTTTGGAAAGAACCCTACTCGGTGGTAGCTTCCTTCAGGGAAGGCCTTACAGTGACTTCAGGTGATAGTAATTGTTGCATAGAATTTTAAAAATAAACTAGGGCTCATAGATTATGGGTCTATATACATTTCCATTTTATTTCCTAGAAGTTTGTTGTATTTTATGATGATATTGATATAGGATATATTAAGGACAGGTTGTGACCAGTGATAGTGATTGAGTCTATAAATTAACGCAGAGGAAGCCTTTGGTTCCTCTGATGATCTCATGGTTGGCAACAAGCAGACAGTTCTGATTTCCACCACTCAAAAGAGAAATGAATGTAATGACCCAAAAGCTAAGCTTCAACTGAACTTTTAGGACCCTGCTCATCAAGAGCCAACCCAGTCCTGGAGGCATCCTCTCCACTGTAGAGCTGCAAGGGACAGACCCACAGTTCTCACAGTGATCTGACAAATAAGCCTCAGCTATATGGATGACTGATAAGGTCCTAGGTTCCTACCACAGGACTGTTAGCTGGTGCTGAATCTGGTTCCGACAAATAGAAGGCTGAGGAACATAATGGGGAATGTTTCGCTCCCAGTCCCTACAGAGAGGAAGAGACCCTGTATAAATTCAACCTCCATAGGTGGTGTGTGTTCTAGTGACAGAGGAAATGGAAGTTACATGGAAAGCATGGGTCACAGTGACAAGTGTATGATGACTAATGGTGAGATTTAAGTAGTTATTATATTTTATTATTTTATGTATATGGGTATTTTGCCTTCATGTATGCAAATATGTCTGTGTACCATGTGGGTACAGGGTATGATACGGTATCTGCAGAGGCCATAGAAGGCATCAGATCTCCAGCACTGGAGTTAAAATGGTTATGAGCATATAAACAGTTTTATGTAAGACCCTCTAAAGGTCTACAAAGAGAAAAATGTCTGTATTACACTGGATTACTTTAAACATCAGATTATTTTAGAGACATTTTATGAAAACAATATGGAAAACATATCACCCTCTTTAGCAGAGGTGAAACATATTTTTACCACTTTAAATTGTTTTAAATGACCCTCAGGACATCCTTGGTTATGTCTATTATTTATTTGCTTCTGAATCCATGCCCAGGTATAATCATAAACTTCCACATGTCTCTAAGGAGAAAATACCCCTGACAAAGATCCACCATAGGAGAAATTTGCCAAAAAATACTTCTGAGTGAAAAATCAAAAACAAATAAGAATTTTCTTTTGCTTTTGTTTCAAAAATAAGATACTTTGAGACCCGTACAAACGATAAAGCATTGTGGAAGTGACAACAATGAAAAATAGAAGGTAATTGTATAAAGATATTTCTCTGCTACTCCCTATTATTAAGAATCCTCGAGCTTAGAAGAAATGAAAATTCTTGTGGCTGGGAAATGCTGTAACTTCTTACCTACAGAGGGTCCTGCAAAACCATCCTCCTGTGGAGTCCCTGAATACGACTGTTGTGCTGTGTGGAAACACTGGTCCATTGCCAGAATCTGCGGAGAGGGGAAAGACACTTCAGACTCAGCCTTACAGGATCCCAGAAGGTAGTACTTATCACCTTACCATCTGCTGAGTTGAGAAGAATCTCTGCTTTCCAGCTTGGTTCCTCAGAGTGAATAAAGCGGCTACCCAAAGAACTGGTTTTGCGGGTTAAAGGAGGCTCAAGAAGAAAAGCAAACCAGAGCAGGTGCACCTGAGAGTAAATGCTGCCGTTCCTTGTCACAACCCAGTACTGTGCAGCTCATCACTAAGTTCTGGAGTTTTAATTATTTCAGATAACTTTTGGAACAGAATTCCAGTCAAGAAAACCTGTCCAACATTGGGTGCCATTGGGATACTCATGAACTGTGTGTCAATGGAACCATGGATAAGAAACCCAGCTTGAATCAGATTCTGAGGCTGTGTTGGAACACGGTGGAAAGTGCTGCACTCTAGCTAGGAGGCTGATCTGCCTCCCCACTTTTAGTACTTGGCATCTCTTTAACATCCACACACACAGGAAGATTGATTTGCAACAAGAGAATTGTTGTTACACTGATAGGCACAAAAGCCACAGGCCTGGAAGATGCAGGGCACTTGATGTTTGCTGAGTGACAAAGCCGACACTGTCATTTGGAGGTTAATAAGATAAAACAAACAGAACCAGCACCGGGAGTGTTTATCCATTCATCAGCTTCAAAATCACAATACTCCCATTGCTGTCCCGCCCACCTAGGAGGCCAAGACAAAAGGAAAAAGATGACACGTTTAAGGTCAGCCTGGCAGCATAGAGAGACTGTCTCAAAATGAAAAGAGTTTGAGATGTAACTGAGTGGTAGAGCACTTGGCTTGCATGCACCAAGTCAGTGTCCAGTCCTAAAGACAGCGTTAGGGTAGAGATAGAGGTCAAGTTGATCAATGACAGAGCCACAAGTTTGAGTGGACATCCAGCTGCAGCCCACACTGTGTCCAGGAGGCTAGTTCCCCTATGGCTTTCCTGAAATGATGCCCAATGCTTAGTGTATGTTAAGTCCACACTGTAGTCTTGTTTTTCTAACAAGCTTTTGTGGTTTTCATTATCTGTATTTACTATCCTGAGTTTATTGCCATGCTCAAGGTCTGCCCCATCCTGCTGTTTCAGCTACTGAGGGTGCCCCATCCAGGCACCACTACTGAACATGCTTACATTCAACCACTCTAGCCCGTGAATAAGCAGTGAATCCCAGAGGCATTCCAGCCATACAGCATTTACAACTACATAAGAAGAGGTCGCATGACCCTGGAGTCTCTCTGCAGAAAAGTTTCAAACAGAGGACACCACAGGGGTATGATGTGGCTGCATGTCCCTGGCATCTCTAGCAAAGGGAGTGTCTAAGAAACTAGAATGCAGTGGGTGGGTGTGATGGGGCATTTTCATCTGCCCTAGTGCCAAGTCATTAAGTAATTCCCTCAATTCTCAGGTTTAACAAGCTAACCAAGACTGTTCCGCCCTTATGTCTCATAGGGGCATCCTTCCCCTTGCAGACTCTTACTTGTCTTCGTTTTTAATATTTCAGCTTTGCAATGACTTCAGGAAGTTAATGGTTTCACCTTTGAAAAGTAGCAGACAGATTATTGTGGGCTTCAAAAGCATCCTTGGTGTAGTGAGAAGCCTGTGTTAGAATGTTGGCCCTGCTGCACACAAGTGCATTGAAATGCAGTTAATTGTGACACGGGGCTGGAGGACTGAGAGCTGGAATCCAGCAAACCTTCTCACACATGCAGTACCCACTGCTGTTATCACCTCCAGGACTATGGAATGGGCATGCAGTATAGCCCTGTAACAAAGTCTGCCACCATGGGATGCCACACATGTAATCTTAAGACACTTCTTTATTTCACATGCAGGGGAGGGAGAACATGAAAAATTCATTTTGCCAAAGACAGCTGTGAGTTTTAAAAAAATCTTGTACAACTACTATTACCTACTTAGAGTCTGATATTAGTTTGGCATATATTAGTATTTGTTATTAAAGAATTTGATCTTTCTTAAAGCATTCCTGGTTAGTGCCTCCCAAACCCTCAAAACCTTTTCAGACTATCAGTTAAAACATGCCTTTACCTTATGGAACAGAGATCTCAGAGTGTGTGGCCTCCAGTCCCCAGTGTTTTTTATATAGGGCTGCACTAGAAATGATGAGCTCTTTATGACCAAAAGCCAGCCAATGGGAGTTCAAGTTATTTATGGTATCATTACCCAGAGTATTCACAGACACATTTCTAGACACTCCCCTTTGCTCTTCTGTCCCATCTAGCACACATAGAGCCCTTGCAACATGAAATGGAATGTCCCCCAAAGATCCATAATGTCTAAACAGAGACTAGCTCTGTGGTGTCCTGTTGCGGAGGGCAGGGTGAAATGGAGGCGTCTGTTTCAGTTCTAGAAGGAAATGGGAGGTCAGTGAAGGGAGGAATGAATGGGAACAAAGTGTGAGACATACGGATGTAAATTTCATAATGAAACTCAGTACTTCTTAATTAAAAATAGAAAGAAGTGTGGCTTGGGGGCTTGGGATTTCACACAGTCCTGCAAACACTCCTTGTGGTTCAAGAGGCATTCCTGCCCTGCTACAGGGCTGCCCAACATGCTGAGCCTAGCAGCCAAGAACAACAGGAGCCACTACCCAGAAGAAAGGAAAATGTTTTCCAGGAAGAAAGAACATCTACCCATGAGAAGGAATGGCGATTAAAGGTTTAAACCTGTGTGCAGGGTGTTTGGGATGGAGACAGAAGGAATCGAGCTTTAGAAAGACTCCTCCTGGAAAAGTCTATGGAGAGGAGAAGAAACCCCTGCTCAAAGAGGAAGTTCAGTAACTCCTAAAATAGAATCCATGTCCTGAGAAGTAAAGCTGCAGGCAGATGGGACTTAATGAATTACCCAGAGTAAACAGTGATTTAACTTGGGTGCACAGAAAAACCAATGTTTACTTTTCTATCCAAACTTAGTACTCATCACTCTGCTACCATCATCACTATTGTACTTTGTTGCCTTCTCTAGTCCTTCAATGGGTTGCTGGGGTCTCATGCATGCTGGATCTTCTTTCCCATGGCTTGAGGGTCCGGGTGCTGTTTTCTCAACTCTATCAGTTGGATGTTCTCTTCCAGTGAGTCTAGCTCTCTGACTGCACCTTTCTTTCTTTTTTTAATTTTTAAATTTAAATTTAAATTAGAAACAAGGTTGCTTTACATGTCAATTCTAGGTTCTTCTCCGTTTCCCTCCCCTCCTCCTGTGCCCTCCCCCAACCCCCCAATATCTTCTCATTTCCCCAGGGAGGGTGAGACCTTCCATGGGGGTGTCCATGGTCTGTCCTTTCATCCAGGGCAGGGCCTAGACCCTCCCCCAAGAGTTTAGGGTGAGAGTGCATCTCTCATTGTGGGATGGGAGTCCAAAGTCCATTTGTATACCTGGGATAAATATTGATCTACTACCCAAGGCTCAATAGATTACCTAGGCCTCCTCACTGGCTGACACCCACGTTCAGGGGGTCTTGATGCTGGATTCCCAGGCATCAGTCTGGGATTCAAGAGCTAACCCTTGTCAGGTCAGCTGTTTCTGGGGGTTAAACCTTTGTTTCTTACACTTACTTCTACCAGTTTCCTTCATCTCTAAGAAAACTATTAGCATGATCATCACAATTTGGTTTAAAAGCTAGAAGAAAATTTGGAAAATATATTACATGGTGTCACACACATGTAATCTGGTTGAAGAAAAGATGATCAAAAGGCAGAGGCCAACCTGAGCAATTTGGGACACTTTATTTCAAAATAAAAATAAAGGATTGGTGATGTTACTCAGCGGGAGAGCACTTGCCTACCTTGTAAATTTTAAAAGTGCCTGCAATGCATATGATGTAAATGAATCATTCATTCTAAAAGCTTCAACATAAAGAAAAGGGGAGTCCCATTTCCAAGAAAAGAACAATCTATCTAGCATTTTATTTTTACATTGTCATAAACTTTTGAAACTACATAGAAAGAGTAGAGGGTTTGTTTACTTGTTTGTTTTGTTTTCTCTGTTTTTTTTAACAGAAGAAAAAGTCTGGATGGGAGCATGTCTGCTCCCTCAGGGTTTGTTTATAATAGTATTTTCTAAAGCCTCTGTAGCTGTTTTAAGAAGTAGACCACACCTTTTCCTGGATCTCGAATGACTTAGATCAGAGGTTCCTAAACACAGGACCACAGGAAACTATGTCAGAAATCTCTAGAAGCCTTCAAATCCCTGGCCAGGCTTGCTCAGAGGCTTGAAAAGGAGCCCAGAGGTTTGAATTCTCGGACCAAGAACCATACCCAACCTCCTGACAGGTGCAGTTGCTGTTTTTTGAGCTTGAACCTTGGTGTGCCAGGGTTCTGCAAGGGTCCCAGGGACATGGCAGGGACACACATGGTTTCAAGTGCCAGCCCATGAAGGACTTGGACTCCACAGGGTGCTCTGATGAGGTAAGGCCCCAGGCTCGGGTTTGGGCTCAATAGGAAAGAACTTTCTAACAAGCACTGCTCAGAACAGCTGTTCCTGGGAAGTCCGACAAAATGGAAGTGGGCCAGATCTGGGGTCAGAAGACACTGAAGGGTGGCAGGCTGAGCCAGGGCCACTGGACTGTCACTTGATTCTCTCCCTCAGCACAAATGTCTGAGTTTCACTGGCTTTTCTGATGGGACCTGACTCTGTTACCCCTGGTGCTCATAGGAATCCATCCTCTCCTCCCTCAGAGGACACTGAACAATTTGTAGAGGCGTGTTTGGTTGTCACATCAATGGACAGGTGTATTTTTCTTTGGGCTGCAAGCATACACACATACAAAAAAGACTTATTTGATTATGAAAGCTTAGGCTTGTTTCTAACTAGCTCTTATAGCTTAAATTAAGCCACTTGTATTAATTTACTTTTTACCTTGTTGCTTTACTCCCTTTAACTCTGTACTGCCCATGTAGCTTTCGCGCTTCCTCCTCTCTGGCTGGCAACTCCACCTTATTCTTCCCAG